GGGGGGGGAGCCGAAGCGACCAAGCGACAGAGACAAAATTGGGGGTCGCTCACAAACAACAAGTGCTAAACACCGCGGTGCCATCGTCATCGTACGGCGGGGTGCTTTTCGCACGAACCGCACCAAAACGATGACAAAACGAGAGCGCCACAGAAGGCACGAAAATAAATGACAGATCGCTTGGTCGGCCCTTAAACGAGAGCATGGCACGCCAAGCAAATAACTACTGTCGTGTGTTTCCAAAGACGAGAGCGTGACCGCCTGTCGCGTCCGTCGTCACACCGTGCTTGCGCTAAATGTGTCAGGGCATAATCACGCATTACTGATTACGGTCGCGAAAAGCGTGATTGTCGTGAGTCATAAATACCTGGGAGATAAGCGCCGAGCTCAACCTGTTGTGTTGACTCGCTGACTGAAGCGGGCTGAAGCATCTCGGCGGCGGCGTCGCGGTGCGCGGACCGTCGGTACCGAACACTCGCCATAGCCCGAGCGCCCTGGTGTGCCCCGCGCCCGCGCCGCTGCCGTCGCCGTCGCCCCCAAGGGCGTGGAGCCTCCGGAGCAAGAGGCCGACTGCATTCTGCAACACCCTGAGCACCCTATTGTTATAGGTAGGAAGAATGAACACGCCCGCGCCCCGCCCCGCCCGCGCCCGCAAACCAGCCCAGCTCCCCCAGCTCCCGCCACGCCCACCCTCTTGTGCGAACCTCCTCTCTCGCTGCACACGCCTGTGACACAATACTCTGCCTTGGAAATACTGGGGCGAGTTTGATTTGTCGCTGTTGTTGCGTCTTTCCCGCGGTCCTTACCCCCGTACATTACTGCAGTTTTCTTTTCCGCGCTCTGTAGGCTACTCCGCGGTACTCTTTTTGTAGGGACGCTCTTTGCCTATATATCGTTTTTGCTGACGTTTTTTTCTTGTTTTTTTGTTCGCAGGCGCCACCACACACACAGGCACGCCGCCCGCCCGCCATGGGGCTGTTCGCGGGCAAGTGCCGCAGCGTGGCCCGCCTGGACGGCAAGACGGTCGTCATCACGGGCTGCAACACGGGCATCGGCAAGACCACGGCGCTGCACCTGTGCAGGATAGGTGAGCGGCACGACGATACAGGTCTTCAAATACTTTTAGGGGGATACAAATATTATGCGGTCCCGATATGGTCAGAAACATCGTTCAGCGTCCATAGAGATCTCATGATGTTTGTACCCCGGGCTACAAATATGATGAGGTCATACGAGCTTGAATAACAGTGTGGGCGGGTCGGGCACACTCCGGTGAGGGTTGGCCTGCTAGAGGATCGTCCAGGAAGTAAGTCCGTTTTTTCTCAGGTTCATTCAGTAAAATACCCCAGGAGCCTCGTCGCCTGCGAGACTCGGGGTAGGCCAACCCGCCGTACACGCGTGCACGGCAGGCGGAATGTTGCCTTCCTATCAGGCGCTATGAGGGCATTGTCTGAACTTGGCAGTTTCGTAACGGCAAACGAAGGACGTACTTTGTCGATGATCCCCAGTCCTAGCAGGCGGGCGGAGGAGCAACCCGCGATACACGCATGCATACTGCGGGCAGGTTTTGCCTACTGGGGTGCGATTGGAGAGCTCCCGGTGAGTTCACGGATTGCGCCTACTAAAAAAAATGGGCGTGAAGGGGGTGGTGGGAACGTTCTGAGCACGTCATTCGAGTGAGTCCACCGTGAGC